TTTTCCTGGAAACATTTGCAGTAGCAAAAATAATATTTTTTGAGTCCTGCTGGTGTTTATTTGTGATTAAAGATTCGAATCAAACATTTAATCAGTTTCACCAGGCGGGTCTGGTTTCCGAATCATGTGGGGAAGATTTTCAGAACCAGGAAATGAGAAGGGAATATTTTTAGATTTAGATCAAACTTTTTGCTTCTGGCAAATTTAATGGGTCACAAGATTCATTACATTAAAAAGGCAGGATATGTTTAAAGTGATTTTTCTGTTTTTCAGTTTAACCTACTTGATAATAAACAATTTTTAATGAAATCTGTAAATCCTTTAAGATCCAAAACATTAAAAATAAGCTTCAGAGTGTTTCATTATTAAAATAAAAACACACAATTTCCAAATTTTTGGGGTCAACAGTTGATTTCCATTTTAATGGCCACATTTTGACTCGACTTGTCGTCATTTCAAGGGCCACAATTGGCCCCCAGACCACATATTGGACACCCTCAGTAAAATGTGGCTGCTATAATTCAGATTCATACATCCTCTTAACATTTGCAGCCAAACTTTGTTGGATAAATTCATATTTATAGCTAATACTTGGTGAGACACCAAACTCTAAGAATCAAACAGGGTGAATGTCATTTCCAGGATTTTTTACTGCAAAGACACAAAATCTCACCAAGTATTTTTGGTCTAGTTTGTGGTGCGAATATCTAAATACGCCTGAGATCAGGCAAAACTGACTGCAGGATGTCAGAGCTTGTTTTGAGTAAATAATTACTTAATATTGATGGAAAAAGTACAAACAGATTTTCCCTGTTATCAGTGAAATAATCTGCCAGTGAACTAGAACTTTATCATCAATATTAAGGCATCATTGACCTAAACAAGCTCCTGTATCTGGCTGAAGAGTTACTTGTAAGTTGTTTTTAATTAATTCAGGTGTTCTAAGATGTTTGCAGTAGAAAATCAAACTTGGTAAGATTTTGTGTTTTTGCCGAGTTAAAGAGCATCAACCCCAGTTCAGTTTCCAGTGCAGATATCTTAGTACACTTAAAATAAGACAAAACTAGCTTACAGTACATTTGCACCAAGGTATGGGAGTTTCACTTATTACAGTAGAAAAATATCTTGTCAGTGAAATAATCTGCCAGTGGAACTTGAACTTTATCATCAATATTAAGGAAATATTTACTCAAAATAATCAGTTATAACCTGTAGAAAAGTGACCTGTAAATTAGTTTTCAAGCAACTAGAAACCAGACCAAATGCTCGGCAAGGTTTTGTGTAGACACACATTTTCCAAACAACAAGAAGAGTTTATTTCCACATAACGCAGATATAAACGAATAATCCTCATTCCTGCAGCTGAAGTTTCCCTTTGACCTGCTCCATGAGCGTCTCAGTGGAAATACGATAAGACTGGCACCAATTAGAGGCGATGCATCGCCAACATATCCTGATTATTAGACGCAGCTCGTCTTATTTTGATAAACAGTAATTTGGTGTCAGTGAGGACAGGAAGAGCAGAATAGGACTGTCTGTCTGTCACTTCATCCCTCTGCTGCGTTCAGACTCTTCCTGCTCCCCCTCTCTTTCTCAGTGTTGACACATATACATATCACACAGCAGGATTAGCATGACGGCGACTGTAACAAACCTCTGCTTTTGAGGAAAAAAAAAGAAAGAAAGGGGGGAAAGCACCCTATTCTATAGTGGAGGTGCCCAGCCAGAAAATAGCATACTTAGACAACAATGGCTTGGTAAGTACCTTAGCAAAGGATCAGCGCTGGCAGAGTGAAACACATTAGAAAACAATGGCTGCTGGCTGCTGCCTGGCTGGCTGTCAGGAGCCGCAGAGCTGCCATGCTGCCATTTATCAGGGGGAGAAAAGGAGACACACATCATCATCATCATCTCGCTCTTCATCGCTGTAAACACTGGTGTGAATGACTGGTCTAATCCTGCCTGCACACACACCTAAACACACACACGAAGCTCCCCTACTGTACAGCCTGACATGTTGATGCAACGCTAAAACAACATGATGCTGAGGTGACGGGAAGTCTTTAGCCTCTTCACTGAAAAACATGACATTTTACCAAGTATTTTCAGTCGAGATTTGAATTAAGACAAAAACTAACGTAGAAGTAACTTTTCAGCTTGTTGCTTTAAGTCAATATTCCTCTAATATTAGTGAAAAAGTTCCAGTTTCATTAGCAAATTATTTCATTGATAACATAATATTTTCTCATGTTGAGTGAAATAATCTGTCAGAGTAAATAGAACTTTATAATCAATATGAAGGAATTATTGACTTAAATCAAGCTGCTACTGCTTGTTGAAAAGTTACTTCTGAGTTAATTTTGTCTTATTTCAAATGTACTAAGATCCCTGCACTAGAAACTAGACCAGAAATAGTTCATGAGATTTCGTGTTTTTGCAGTTTTCAGACGTAACCATGATTTGAGCCACAAAAGACTAAAAACCAACTTTGTATTGAATCATGTGGCACAATCTTGAAGAAAAATATGATTATTTGCTGTTTTAGTTTATTCACTATTTACCGACACAAACTGGATTGAACCAAACAATAAATTCACAGTTTTGACACTTTAAACGAAACAGAAAAACTAAAATGCATCAACATGATCAAAGTTAGGACTTTAAATTTGTCAGAGCTCCTAAATATGCTGCACAAAAAAAAGATTAAGAATCCAAAACAAAAGAAAGAGCAGAATCCTAATGTTAAATAAATGACAATTAATCCTGGTGTTGAATTATGCTGAAATAACTCCAAGCAATTATTAAACCTCCGTATCATGTGTGCAAAATGACACATTTACATTCCAATATTTTGATAGGATCTAAATCAGGAAGTCAAATATATTCCAGTTTTATTATTGGGCCAATAATGACTAGAGATTGTTTAATGCCAGTTAAAAGAGGAAAAGGGTTTCTGTAAGAAGACGGAGAGCAGGGGGGGCGTTACTAATGATATAAGAGCCAATGTTGGAGCATCTCTTGGAAATCTGGCAGAAATCCTAATGTCGCCCCTGTCCTCTTTTAATGCAAACCAAATGAGCCTGCACTGTAATAAGAAGCTTCCCAGAATTAGTTTCCGTTTGCAGAAAATTGCAAGAAAAAGAAAAAAAGCCCCAGTACCTTTATCTATGAATTTCACTCCAGCATAAGCAAAAAAAAAAAAAAAAAAAAAGGCAGAGACCCTCCTCTGACATTATTTGGATGACGCGCCATCAGTAGCAGCAGCAAGAAATAACATTGTGCAAATTCTATGCATGTTAATGATAAATAGGAATCCACCTGCTCACAGATAAAATGAGTTTAATTTCCCCCCGCCCACGCCTGTGTGCCTGCCTGGCCTTTTAGAAATTACTTATGCACAGCTATTATTAAAATAGGGCCAGAGCAAATGAGAAAGAAGCGCTATCTGTGGAGAGTGTGGCTGGGTTTAGACCGCCGCCGCCGCCGCTCCTTCCAGGACTCTCCGCTTCACACAGTCAACGTTTCTTACACACACACACACACACACAAAGCCCACAGTGAGACGGCAGCGTGTGCAGAGACACCTCGCCCTCTCTCAGCTCCAGTGGCAGCTCTCACCCACTATTTACTAAATTAACCCAAATCCTTTTAGGACTGTAATGGAATTTGCAAGCTTTTTGAAAACATCTATTTCTACGAGTGTCTATCTGTTTGCACATGTACGGCTGAATGTATACAGTGGGAGAACAAACGTGTGTGTTGTTGCATAGGTGTGTGTGTGTGTGTGTGAATGGAGGAACATTCTGCTTTGCTTGTACAATGTGCTTCAGAGGGGCTGAGGATGTAACATCTGAATGCTGAGGACTGAATTTATCAGGCACAAAAACCTCATATTGATGTATGACCAGAAAAACCAGGCAGGATGTGAGGAGGAGGAGGAAGTTGGAGTTTTGTTTCGATTCTCTTAGAAAATCAACACATTCCTCCTTCCCTTCGCTTTGGCCTTGAACTATTCATCAACGTCTCTTTATTTGCCAGAGGTGAAGGATGTTATAATCTGAACATTCCTTCAACAACATCAAACCCACCAGGAAATCTGACCGGACCAGGCGACGTCTTTGGCAGGTAAAAACAGATTTTATAAAATTAAAAAGTTAAATGCCAGCAAACACTCAGTACAGATTTAAATGTGAAAATAAATGTCAGTCCAAACAGGATTAAAGCTGCAGAACTTTTATAACGTATTTTAAAAAAATATTTGTTGAAACTGTCAGTTTAAAAGACAAATTACCAAATCTAGTTAGCGCCCAGTGCTGACCAGAAACAACCAATCAGAGCGAAGAGGCGGGGCTTAGCGCTGCCCATCACTCCTCCTCTTTTGCTCTCTGCTAGACTCCAGATAGCATAGCCTGTTGTGGATGCTAAACTAGTTAGCATAGCCATCGATGATGATAGCGAGTACAAGATTGATTGACAACACTAAGACCCGCCTCCTGGCTCTGATTGGTTGTTTTTGGTCAGAAGTCTTCAGACAGTAATAATCGCTCATGGAGGAGATCAAACTTTTCACAGATTATCTCTCATAAACTGTCACAACATGGCGACAGTTTGAACAAAGATGGAAAAAAACTTTTATTATTTTTGTTTGGATTCTGTAGGAATGCCAAAAGTTTTAATTTACTATCTTCTGGTGCTGTGTAGACAGGCTTTATATTTTATTTTGGTCACATTTCTCTAATCTGATCAGTTTTCTCTGTTCCCTTTTATGTTGTTTGAACTATTACATAATAGTGTTTGCTACAGAAATGCATAAAGAGGTAATCGACTTCCAGCTAACCACGTTTTTATTTCTTGCAGTGATTTTGCTGGAATCTGCGAATGGAAAAGTTAAAATGTTTGGTTGCATTGACACCATCCCACAACATCAAAACCTCTTCGAAGTGCCTGCTTAAACTTTATCTTTCTAAATCTTCCCACATTTCTCTTCTTTGATTGCACAGAGCTCTTCAAGGACCATCGCTTAGGGAGCCTCACTAGAATCTAGATGGATTCGCTGAAGGACTTTGTCTGATTGGAGCTTCAGTTTCTTCTATAACTGAAGTAAAAAGGTTTGAAAAACTTGTTTCTTTGGCTGTTTTTGCTCTACATAACAGCTCATTTCTGTCCACATGACAAACCATTTATCCCACTGAAAACTGCAAAAACTCAGAACCTTACCAAGTATTTTTGGTCCAGCATAAATATCTTAGCACTCTTGAAATAAAATAACTTACAAATTACTTTTCAGTGAGATATAAAAACTTGTTTTAACCCAATAATTCCTGGCAGATTATTTCACTTATAACAAAACACGTTCCCAGATTATACGTTAAATAATCCGCTGAAGGTAAAGGTACTTTTTCATCAAGTGAAATAAGAAAAAATAGGACTAGTTGCAAGATTTTATTTTTATTTTTATCTTGGCCAGAAAGTTCCCTTGATTCGAAAATCACATGATAAACACTGCAAAAACACAAAATCTTACCAAGTAATTTTAGTCTATTTAGTGCAAATATCTAAAAACAGTTGAAACAAAACAAAACTAACTCATAAGTAACTTTTCAGTAAGATGTAGGAGTTTCTTTTAAGTCAATAATTCCTTAATATTGATGAAAAAGTTCCAGTTTCTGTGGTAGATTATTTCACTTATAACAAGACATTAATAATCTGCCAATGAAAGTTTTTTTTTTCACCAATACTGAGGAATTATTGACTCCCATGTCTTGCTGAAAAATACTTATGAGGTAGTTTTGTCTCATTTCAGGTGGACTGAGATATTTGCAATAGAAACTGGACAAAATATTTGGTAAGATTTTGTGTTTTTGCAGTGTAAACATCACATCTCTGTTCTCACCGACTCACAGACTGTATTGGCTGCTGCAGTTTCCTGTTTCATGTTACATTACAAAGCTAATAGTAGGAATAAATCCATGTTCAGAGACGCAGTCATGAAACCAGCATGAAATTGTTTTATTACTCTTGGACACTGACTCAGTTTTACCAAATGTTTCTGCTTCAGTGACTCAGTTTGCTGTCCAGACCAAAACAAATCTTCAGACAAATTGAAAATGTTAAAGACTGAATCAGTGCAGAGGCAGGACTCTAATGGGTTTATGTGTGCAGCGATATTCCACAGACATGCTGCACTTTGTGCTGGGCTTCCTGCTGTGTGTGTGCTCCCTAATGACTGCTCCCTGGGAGTGGAAACGGCCCCCGGGGGACGCTAAGACGCTAATAAATGAGCTTCTCTCAACTTCACACACTCTCAGGGCAGCAATTATGTCAAAACAGTGTTTACATTTCTAACAGTGACAAATATTTCCCTGCGCTGAGCGCGGAGCCTCCTGGTCCTGACGGGGTTTTCTGAAGTTGAAATTACTGTGTCGCTTTGTTGCTATGTCACTGAGTAACATTTCTAAATAATGTACCGGAGTTTACAAATACCATGTTCCTTATCATTAAGCAGTGGGAGCAGTGGAGGAAGTAAAAAAAGAACAAAAACAAAGATATTGTGTTGGTGCAACTGGAACTAAGATGGGAATGTTACTGGATGTTTTATCGTCTGTTTCCCTCAGCAAACATTTCCTCTTGTCTTCACTGTTTTAAACAGAAATCAGCTTCTCTGTTTTAGATAGTGCTAACTGTGGAGTTTATCTGTAACTACAGTTGTTTTGTTTATGTATTTTGGATATTTAAAATGTCTTCCAGTGTTAAACGCTCATTAGATTTTAAAGTGTGCTGATCTTTGAGGACGTGTTCTTGCATCATTAAATGGTGTCAAACAACGATATTATCGTTTATCACAATAACTGCAATTTATCGTCCAGAAAAATCTGTTACCATAACAGACCAATGGATGCCTTTCATTTCATGAGGCAAACATGCAAAACCCTTTAGGTTTAAAACCTGATTACTGCAGTAATATAATTATTTCACTGCTCAGCATGTAAGAAGAATCAAAATGTGTTTTTCGTGATTTTTTTGTGACTCCATCACGTCTGAGTCAGCGATTTTGTCCCACGTGACAGAAACTTTGAGCAGCAGAGGTTTATCTGATGACCATAAATTATTTTTGAACGTGTCGTCTCCTCCTGCGCCGGAAAGTTTGATTTCCTGCAGCAGCTCAGGGACGAGGGCCTGTTACATGGACAGGGTGAGAGTCTGATTGAATGGCAGCAGAGAAGCATACATCTTTAAATTCCTCATTATCCACTAACACACAGACACCACGGCTGCTCCTATTCCATTACTTACTCCTCCGTATTGTCATGCTCTGAGAATTCAATGTAGTACCTTTTATTGTAGAAAATGAAAAATGTCATTTTCCCCTTCTCCCTGCCTCCCCCTCTCCTAACACTAATTTAAAATGTCTCATCTCCCTCTGCGTGTTCAACAGTCTGATTGCCTCAGTGCCGAAGAAAGAGGCCTAAGAGGAGGAATCCCCTTCTCTTTGTCAGAAGGAGCCCATGTGGGAGCGGAGCGGCGGCGGGGAGAGGAAAGAGTTGATTCATGAATCTGCAGCTTCATCAGAGTCGGTCAAGCAGGAAAACCTGCTGCTGACCTTCCCAACGAGCACAGAGACCCGAACCTTCAAGGTCTAAAGGTTCCTCACCTTCTCCTCACTTCCTCTGTTCTTTCTTTTCTTCCTCCATCACTTCCTTTTTCTGAACTCAGCTTATTCTGAACCAAACCTTCCAGATGAATAAACGTCCTTCTCGGTCTACAGATGGCCTTGGTGTTAAAGTAAAACCTGGGTGTTCTTCGGTAAAGGTACAGAAAACAGAAATTACTCGTGATTATTTTAGTTATCGATTAATCGAGGTTATTTGTATTGCATATTTCAGCAACATGGCAGCTCAAACATGGCAGCTCAAACATGTCATAAACATATCATGTAGTTGTGAAAATCGAAAACAGACCATCGTTTAAATCATTAATACACATCAAATATGTTGGTCAATGTTTAATTTATTATGGCTCAACATCAACTTTAAACAGGTGAGTTATTAGTCTGGATTTAAAGGAACTCAGTGTTTCAGCAGTTTTTCTGTTTTCTGGCTGTTTGTGGTGCAAAGAAGCTGATTAATCGATTCATTCTGGTGATTAATATACTCCAGTTAACCAATTACTAAATTAGATGATGATTATTTCAGTAACTGATTAATCACGATTAATCGTTTCAGCCTTGGTTGCAACACGCTCCTGCTTTAGTGACTTATTGTGGCACCATTCTGGAGCAGCTTTAGGCTCCTCAACGTTTCATTTCAAGCATTTTACAACTTAACTGCTGGCATAACGGAGCAACTAACTGGAATTTTTAATTTTAGCAGCATTTCTGTAATTACACTGATAAAAGTCCCGGAAGCATAAAATGGTCTAAAGCAAATTAGGCCATTTTTTCACATTCATATTAATCCACACACATCAGATCAGATGTTTTTATTGACTGGTAGAAACTCCAATAATGACAATAATGACATATTCCATTTCATTTTCATTTGGTTTATTAATATGCAACAAGCTGAACACAGAAGCCACTTTGCACCAAGCAGGTGAATACATATCTGTTCTTTGGTGACAAAAACCTCTAATTGTGGCTCCAGTAACTACATATAAATATAATCAATAAAATTAAATGATTATATTAAATGATCAGAGATTAATGGCCTGAATCTTCCTCCTGGACCTGAACTGTTCAATCAGGAGGATGAATCCACGTTCTGCTGCCACGCTGGACACTGGGATTACAAGCACCCCTTCAGCCAAACTTTTGAAATCAGGGAACATTTCTCCCATTTAAGTGCTCAATAGTCAACAGAATAAGGGATTTTCTGATCAATTAGCTCACAGGCAGCGATACGCATCTAGTCGAGATCAGAGATTATTTTTTTTGTCACCAGTAAGAAAAATCGGACAAAGACAAAAAATGTTTGGCTAACACGACATATACATATAAATCAACTAAATATAGATAATGATATGTGAGATAATAAACTCAAATGATACTGGCTGAACTTAAGATGGACTTTAACGAGTAAAGAACCTGGTTAAAATTTTTATGTACGGTGGACCCCATGGAGGGACGACAGCTAAAGTCCAAATACATGAAAACATCCTGAAAAGCTCTTAGAACTGCCTATCTTATTATTTCAAAACACCAAATATAACATAATATACTTTCATACACAGAGTGGAAACCATTTTTGCTGTACCACAGAAGCTAACATCCACCATCTTCCTTCCGCTGGGTTCAGCCAATCAGTGCCAAAGACAATAATTGGTGCTTCTGGATTGGCTGATTTGCAAATGGCAGCCAATAGCATGTCAAGTATCATTGCACAAAGGTATTTCAGTTTTCCAAACTGCATTATTTTAGAAATGCTCTACAGAGAAATTTGTGAATTTTCCATGAATAATTTGGAGTTATGCTTTACAGAAAAATACACACACATCTACACACACACACACATATATACATATATATATATATATATATATATATATATATATATATATATATATATATATATATATATATATATATATTTTTTTTTTTTTTTTTTTTTTAATGTTTTTCCATAATATTGCTGTCTCCTGTGTGTGTTGTTGCTTTTCCAGAATTTTCTGTGGAAGCTACGGATAACCTAGAATAACATTTTAATTTTAATAACTTTCTGAAATATTATTTCCTCTGTCGACAATGTTTTGTTTATCCAAAACAGTTATGAGCATCAGAGGTTATTTATTGGATCAGAATTGGGCCCTAAAACTTCCTACATCTTGAATATATGAAATGATTTTCAAATTAAATATTATTATTTGCAGGATTTAAATATGGCTGAATTTGCAGTGAGAGACACATCAAATATGTCATTGGATTTACGTTCTGACGCATAAAACACATATAGCGTTTTCATTATAATTATAATATGGATCAAAAGACATACAAACACAGGATAAGTGGATCCGTCTTTGATGCGCACCGGCCTGCAAAGCGGTCCTGTTTTGAAACCTGGGACTGCGGTGTTCCACTGCCCTCCAGTGGACACCTGCGGAACTGCAGCGCTGAACACCGAGACGGGAGTTGTAGAAAATATTTCCACTAAGTTTAAAACAAGAAATATCACAATAAATAAATGAAAATAAATGTGATAAATTTTAAAATCACAATAGCAAACCTTAATTTTGATTAATTATTCCTTGTAGAAGTTAAAGGCCAAGTCTCTTCACCACACCAGGACGCAGTAGACTGATAGATTATCAATTAAAAAATCTAATCATTCCAGTGATCTAATATGAAAATATATCCAAATAATTACAAAGGCTAGCTACACATTTTTTATATTATGTATATTTAAGGAATTTATTTTTGTTAATTTTGATGATTTTATCAGGTCATTAGAAAGATTGAATATTACATTATTATACCTGGGATTCTGCAATTTTTTCAATCCAAAGAGCAATTTTTGGTTATTAAACGGTTTCTGAAGCAGGTGTTAGTACTTTTAATAGTGTGATCAGGTGCCATGTTCTGCTGGAAACTGAAATCAGACTACAGCTGCAGTTCAGGGGAATAACGACAGAATGTGTTGAATTTCCAGCCTATGGTTTCTGCACATTTTCTGACTACATGTTTTCCTTCCACTCAACTTCCCATATCATAAAAGGCTTGAATGCAGCAACCTTTTGAGGCTTGACGTCCTTGTGGAGGGTATTAATGCGCTGCTGTCTTCTTTATGATTGTGTAGGCCATAACAGGACCATAACATTTAATATTTAACATAACAAATATAATATTTTCATTTTCTGAGACATAATTTTGGGTTTTCATTGGCTACAAGTAATGATCTTTAAAAAGCTGGAAATATGCAAAACTTTCTGTAAAACGAATGAACGTTTCAGCTGAATTAACAATTTTCAGTGGCATTTAAAATCACTGAGCTGAACCTTTATGTTTCATTTCTATTTTTATTTAATGTCAGGATCTTGTAACACGTTTAGTACAGAAGCAGTGAACTGAGCTGGGGAGTAACTGGTTACATTTACTATAGTAACTTTTTTTAAAATGTACTTTTATCAGTATTTTTACCACACTGCATTTATTACTTTTACTTTGAGTAAAAGTAAAAGTTATTACTTTTACTTTGAGTAATTTTATTATTAAGTATTTCTTCTCTTAAAATGTCTGGATTTTCTTCCCACTGAATGAAAAACAAACATGTTTTAACCAAAGACTCACCACTCAGACACACAGCTGCAGTTTCTGTTAAAGTTTCATCAGTTTTTATTGAAACTGATTTAGAAAAACTTTCTTTTGCCTGATTATTTTTTGCTACTTATATGAATTATTGTCATTTTGTTCTTTAAAATACCAACATTTTGAAATATTAAATGAATGATAATTTGACCAGTCAGTCAGTACCTGAGTAAACTTTTTACCAAATATTTTTTAGTCTTAAGTAATTTCTTGGTCTGCTTCTTATTTTTACTTGAGTAAAACTCAAGTAAAAATCTTCCTGCTCATCTCTGGCAGGGAAGATGTTGAGGTTTATTGCATCACACCAGGCTGAGAGCATTTTCGTTTCTGTTCAAACTTTTCCATTTTAATATAAAAAGATAAAAGCAAGACCAACTTCTACAGTTTTTAATGGACAAAATAACAATTTAACCTCTTATTTTTGCACAAACGACAGTAGGATATTTAGCACACAATAATCCCTGTTTCTGTTCGTTTTACTGAGCACCAAAACGTAAATCCAGTGACTCTTTACTGGTCTAATGAGTCAGACATGAGGAGCACTTAAGCAAGGCCTGCAGGAAGTATTTCATACCAACAGATTAAGACGTCAGGCTTCAGAGACGGGAAGTAACGGATCAGGAATCTGTGTGTGCAATATTAAATGAAGAGGCTTCTCGGACCGTATATTAGTGCTTAATCTGCCGCCTAACAAGATAGAGCGAGACACGTGGCGCCTGCAGAGCATCACTGATGATGGGACCGGTAATGATGGAGGAGGAGAGCCAGAGGCTGGCAGCTAAGCCCAAAGTAGCTTACTGTGGCAACGCATGGCTGGTTGCACCGCACCGATGTGTGTGTCCAGTTATTAAATCAAATACGTGACACCAAGTAGCTTAAAGCTCCAATAAGCCAAGAGGATGGTCGCCCGCGTCCAGGTCCGAGCAGAGAGGGCAGAAAACTGAACTAAAGCAGAGGTAGCACTACCTCAACTTATTTTTACTCAAGTAAAAGTAAAAACTAGCAAGAAATTATTCATATGAGAGTAAAAAGGTATTTGGTAAAAAATTTACTGACGTACTGAGTGGCTGATCAAATAATCAATCATTTAATATTTAAAAAGTACAAAATCAGACGGACCAAAATATGAAGTTAAGAGGAAATTTTGGTATTGTAACGACCAAAATGACAATAATTCATACAAGTAACAAAAAAATAACAAAACCAGGCAAAAGAAAATGTTTCCACATCAGCTTCAATAAAAATCTTTAGCAGAAACATCAGGTGTGAGTCTGTCTGGTGAATTTCTGGCTCAAACATGTTTGTTTTTCATTCAGTGGGTAGAAAATCCAGAAATTTTACTGAAGAGCAGATACTTCATAATAAAATTACTCAAGTGAAAGTTTACAGTAAAAATACTCCTAAAAGTGCATCTCATCTGCTAAAACTTTCTTTATTTCTCATTTTTCTGTTTGTAATCCCTCATGCCTCAACATTCATGGATCAGTCCATCTTTATAATATGTCCAAATTAACTCTGTGTAGATCCAGATACTCACTTCACATTAGGAAAAATAGATGAATTCTTCTTCTACAGAAAT